GCGTGAGCATTGCATTACGGACTCAAGTAAAGAAACCAGCTGTGTTTATACTGATATGGCAGAATTAGGAGGGATGTAGCAAAGAGTTACATAAACAAAACTCTTACTAGCCTGTACACGTATACATTTAAATTCGGTATATTCAATGACAGGAACACTAACTTCCTCGGATGGTATCGAAGAATGCACCGCAAAAGAACACCACCGCCGATCCTGCCCTCGCGGTCGCTTCTGTACATTTGATATTCATTTGGAAGAGCTTCGATTTAAAAATATACGGTTTGAGCCATGTTCGGTCAAAGAAATAATATAATTGCAGTCAATAAAATATTAGTCAGTTAATTTGGTATTCAAACCTCTAATGTTTTGACAGTAAATAATTAAATTAGACTTGCGAGCAGTGTGGCCAGGTCATTGAAGTGAGAAATCGTCAGTTTGACTTTCAAAAATCGTAATTTGCACGTAATAAACATACCCAGGAAGCTCTTTTGGTTTTTTGTTTCAATTTGTTCTAGCTTCTGATTAATAATAATAATAGATTGGCACTTACTCATATGTATGTTAGTGTTTGGCCGAGCTTCTCCTCCGACTTTTGGCGTGCGCCTTGATGTTGTCACACAAAGCGGAGGGACCTACAGTTTCACGCCGACTCCGAACGGCGATTGTATTTTTATGAGAAGCTGTTTTTCACGGCAGAAATACACTCGGAGGTTTGCATAGCTTCTGATTGCTATAGGAAAAAAAAAACAAAAAGTTTAACTTTTTTACGAATTTTTAAAATATGCATTACTTTTAACAAAAATAGTTTTAATTGCAATAAAATCACATGTTTGAACACCAAAACCCAGCCCTTGTGTGCGCTAATGCTAAGAGCTCATATTTACTCAACTTTAAACACTTTGTGTGTAGGTTTTCTCTACGTGACAAATTTGGTATGTAAAAGTAAACGGACAGTGTTTAATTTTGCACACACTAGGAGAGGAAACTGGTTACCTCTCTTTATATGCGTAAATTTAAACAACAATTTTTTAGAGGAAATTTTAAACATATTATGTGTTAACTGTGAAATTGTGAACAACAAATGTTTAGAACTCAAAAATCAAATTTGAAATTTGTTCTACGCCACACATATGATAAGTAAAAGTAAGCAAGGAGTGTTTAATTTAATTAACACGATGTGTAAATTTGCATTCATTAAGAGAGGAAACTGGTTACCTATCTTAATATGCGCAAATTTAAACAAAATTTTTTTAGAGTGTACATCTTTAGTTTTGACTTTAGTCGATATGTATGACTTTATATCATCCGAAGAAGTGCCTTTAGCAAACATAAAGACAAAGGTTGATCTTCTCGGAGGAATTACAACCAACTTTTTGATAATGATGTCTGATATGCGGGATTCCGAGTTATTCGGAGGAACTATGTTAGACAGTGCAGCATCAGATGCGGATGGGAACACTGTTAAATCAACGGTTTGATTGACGTTATTATTTTTAAGGCCGGTTGTTCAATGTCTGATTAGCACAAATAGGAGGTAGAAGCTCCGGTTAAATACAGCGACTGCTTTATTGATCACATGTTATATGAATGATGTCGAAATCGTCGATAATGATGTTTAACTGGGCGGTAGTGATAACCAAACATTGAACAACCGGCCCTTAGATGTAGACCTAGTCGATATGGCTTTAGATAGCGAAGGCCCCAATGCCAATGGCCATGGAGAAGAGAGATTAATAAATTCATAGCCTTTTCAATTTTCGTACGATTAAGTGCAAAATTCAAGTGGGTACAAAATACCATTGATTTTTATTATTTTTTTCTGACGGTGTCGCGCAGTTTTTTCTATACAAGGTTTTTATGTTCGAAATTTTTTTTATATGTCAAGGAATGCATTGTCAACAAAAAAATTGCCAAAAATCTCCGGCTAAAATTGAATGGGCTATAAAACTGCATGTCAAAAATTGTTCTAGAAATTCTAAATAAAAAGTTAAAAATTTTGGTGAAAGTTTGGAATTTTTATTATTTTTGTACAAAGTTTTAAATGTGGATTTTTATGGTGTTTGCTGTATAACTAACTAGACTTTTATAAAAAAAAAAAATATTAAACTTTAAACAAACCAAAGAAATATAGCCAAAGGTTGTCATAATAAGGTGACTCTATTATTTCCGCCACCAGTATACATATATACATACATATGTATGTATGTATTAATTTCTTTTTAGTTTGCAAATTGCTCTCTCCATTAGTTTTCATCATAAAAATATTTGAACAATTCAGCTTATCTACTCGGTCCTAGATTACCCCAAAAAACTAAATTTTTATAGAGGCAAAAATATAAAAAGTTTAGCTGATTAGACAAATGCTTTTAGAAAAACAAACTACTCAAGTACCTAGCAGCTAGAACGGGTGAGATCAAGCAGGCAGCACTTGATATTATTTATAGAAATGTATGTATATATATTTTAATCAAAAGAAAAAAATAAAACAAATACAAAAAAGTAGCGATTAAAAAATATCACGCAATTTTTTGACATTAAAAAAAAAATAATTCTTTGTTCTGATTTTTTTATGAATATTTTGAATTGTTACTTTATGCGACCTTAAAATTAGACCTCGCTTAATTTTGGCTGGTTACATCAAATCATCTTTTGATTACCTTCATTTTTAATTGGCTCCAAAAAAAGGAGGAGGTTATCAATTCGTCGGAATATTTTTTTTATGCATGTTACCGCATAACTTGAAGTCGGTTTGGTTTTTTGCTTACAAATTATTTAACTAAATAAACGTGCACCATTCTTTTCTTTAACAAATAACTCAGCATTTTATATGGAATTATTTCAGTTAAAATTTTTCCAAAATTAAATTATATATGTAAGTGTCAAAGTAATTATTTGCTTTCGAAATGTAATAAAAATCGGTTTGTGTGCACAGCTTATAAATTTCATAAATATTTGGCTAGTCAATCAGTCCTGTCCAACCTTACCTAAGGTCATCTCAATTTGTCTACGCGCAACACGAGCCAATTGTGCAAACATGCATGAATTTATGCGAACTGCTATGTACACATATAGTATGCACATATGAAAGTAGTTTATGTATAGAGCTGTGTGGTAAAGTTGAATTATGGCACTGATTATATTCATACATATGCACAGTGTAGCCTCGATAGTGTCAACTAATCGTTACTTGCTTACACCCTTTCCGGACGACAGATTGTTTTTATGATAGGCTTTTTCATAGCATAGTTATTAGGAAACACATTTTTGGATGTCGATGAGACAATGAATCGCACCTCAACTGCAGGGGATAGTAATAGGCGAAAGGCAGCTTTTTTTGTTGAAAGTTGGAAACTTGCTTTTGAACCCAGGAACTTTTTGCTTATTTTGTAGGCGCTGGTTCTGATTATTCATTTAATTTGACTAAAAATTTGAAAAGTTATTTTTTCTAGAAGACCAAATGCAATTTGGTACAATTTTTTTAGTTGCAGAGCTGTACAAATTTTATGAAAACTATAGTTAGAACCTCAGAATTTTTTTTACGAATGTTTATTCGGCGTGGAAAACACTGTAGTTTGTTAGTTTTTACTTATTTAATTTATTTCTGATGCTTTTTACATAGCACTTCAATGGATGTCGACGCTTTGCCTGAAGCTCGCAATGAAATTGACAACAAACGATAAAGTTTCGAGTAATCAAATTAAAGTTAAGTCAATAGATGAAAAGCAAACGAAGGTTTAGTATCGCGCGAATTGCGCGTGAGAAAAACAAACAACATTTATTTATCGAAATGTTGCATAAGAAAGTATATGTATATCCTATAATTATGTTTGAATACACATACTAATTATAGAAAAGGTAATGGCAGACTCTTCTAATTTAAAAAAAAAAAAAAATGTTTAGACCTTGATTTTGGCTACTCAACAGTCTGAGGCGATGCCACACCTAAAACCCGATTCTCGAAGATTGTGGTTGTGGATTGTGGATTTTGCTCCCTTTCATACCACAGTAATTTTGTTTGCAACTCTGAATCAGCAAAATTCATGCTCCTTCTCATTATCAACCCTGATCTGATTTTACCCCCGAGGAGTACTCAAAAAGACTTATTACTGTATATACTATGTTCTGCACTCCTTAACCAGCTTCGCCTTTATCATGCAGGACGCCAGGGTCATAAGGGCCGCCCGACTGTCTGAGAAAATGGCAATCCGCTCACTCTTGCGCATTTTTATTTGACCACTCATTATCTCGTATTTATCCATCGATTTTCTTCATCAGTAACTTGATTTGTTTTTTTTTTTGTAACAGAACAGGCTTTAGTACAAATGCAAAAATTTGGCACAGAACCTGTTATTTTTAAAATTTTTCTTCTGTTAAAATTTGATTTTATGTATGCACATTCATAATAACAACTATTTTTATTCCCTTGCCAACAATTGAGTGCAATGCTCGCGGCCAGAGTAATGCAACTTATGAAACAGAGAGAATCGCATGAATGAACAAACGCATCGGAAAAATGAATAGAATGCACGGCGCATTAGACTAGAGTTAGACTGAACTTTTTCACTACCAAACAAAAGCGCAAACCGGAAGTGTTACAAACTTGTTGAGCGACCATTAAAAATACTATAACAAAAGTGCAATAAAAAGGAAAAAAAAAGTTATTGCTGTAACAAGTGCCAAATAGTGCATCAGCAGCGCTCTGAGGCTGACTAGCATATTTATGCATTCGTATGTACATATATGTATACATACACATATGTATGTAGATAGTTGTGCTGCTTGATAAATGCATTTAACGGTGCACTTTCTTTGGGGCGTGTTGCGCGCGCGAATGCCACCTGTCTCAGCTTGCTCGCTGGCAATTAGCGTTAAATTTGTTTACGAAATTAACAGAATGAATTTGTTGTGCGCTATTTAAGTTGTTAAATGAATTAGGGCATTTTTTTTTTGCTGGCGAAAGAGAAAACTTATTTGTGTTTAATTTTTATTTGTATTTGCAGATGTTGTACTTAAAGTTATATACGGCTAGGAAATGGCAAGTGGAGAATAGAAGTGGAAGGAATTTAGGAAATGTTTTAGGGTGATTCAGAAATTATATACGTATGTATGTGTTATAAACTGAAGGCCAATATACAAATATAATTTTTTTCAGGTGTTGCACATTTTCTTGTAAATAAAAAATCGCCGAACATACATACATAGTTCGTATGGGAGAAAATGACTGGCATTTTCAACAAAAAAAAAAAAAAAATTGCGAAAAAGCAACGGTAAGCACTAGCTACTTCAAACTTGAACATGATGAACTGTTTTTTGTGAGGAATTAGGTGTAAATAATTTTTATATTTTGCTTTAGTAATTTCATAATGATTTATAAAAAATGTTAACTGCAAATGTCTCACCCCTCACCGTGGAATGAGCCGTATGCAGTTTTGTAGCTCGTTTAATTCTTGTATATTAAAGGTTTAAATGGCTAAAAATTACCATTGATTTTTTAAATTTTCTGCGTAGATTTTGCTTTCATATAACGAATAAACACAATTTATTTTATGTGGAAGAAACCTGGAGTTGCAAAAAAAAACTGTAATACGAAAATTTGTAGGTACTTGAAACTTGCACTTTTTATATTAGAATTGAGTGGGCTACAAAATTTCATACTCAAAATTTTTCTAGAAAATCTAATTAAAATACTCGAAATTTTTACGAAACTTGAAACTTGGATTTAAACGGGTTTTGTTAAAGAATATTTTTATAAGAATAACTCAAATTAAATAGCAAAAAAAAATAATAATACTTGTGAACCGCCGTATGTATGCAAATATTATATGTACACTTTTTTATTCTTTATTTGTTAACAAACTTAATAAAAGTTTGGTTTGGTTTATGAATACATAGATGACATATTTATACATATTAAAAAATAAAATAAACATAAATACCAGCAATATATCAAAATATATATATAAATTGGGGCAATATAGGGGAATTTCATTTTCGAAATCGGGGAGTTCTCAAAAATGAGTTGGCTACCCTGGTATATATGTACATATGGTCACCTGAAATGCAAAAAGACGTAACATACATCTTCACTGCAATGGAAAAAATCGTAACTTATAATTTTTTTTTTTCATAAAACGATGTGGGGAGTTGTAATTCGATGAAATTGCATTTGAATTTTTTATTAGTTACGATTTTTTGTATTTCAGCGACAATGTTTGTTACGTGTTTTTGCATTTACGGTGACGATATGTATGTGAGTTCGAATGTATGAGCGCCTCTAGGTATTATCAAAAAAAAAAAATAATAAAAATAAAATAATTTAAAAAATGTGTGCATACAATTTTATTAATCTGTAGACATTATATGCAAATTTTTTCAATTTCAAAAATATTTTAGAAAATAGTTACAATAATTTTAATTTGTTAATTAAATTAAATTGATTCAATTAACCCTTAGAGGCCTTTGATACTTGTAACAGGAAATTGGCACGAAGACAAAACGAAAAGCACATGCACACACATGCAAACAGGCACAGATTAAAATTGTAAGTAAATGTTAAATAATCAAGATTTATTTTTAAATACTTTGCTGCGCTTGCATTGCAGTAAGTAAGATTACATGTTCATGTGTATACATATATGTATACATATATACATACATACATATATATGTCTACGTATGTATGAAATGTAAACAAGAGCACGCTTTTCGCCGCTGTCTTTTGGCACACAGAAACTGATTGATGTTCGCTATATCCATGACAAAGTCAATAAACACCCGTTTCGCTTGCCCACATACCCACTTACATATCTATGTATGTATATACATAAATACGTATGTACATATAGCTAGTTAAGTCAACTGCTCTAACCAAACAAATTGTGTAAGTACTAAGCAAAAACCTAAAAGTTAAAAAGTATAACATTAAAAATGGCTAATGTATGGATTTTTCCATTTGCAAATATTGTGGCGCTAATATTGACATTTCTCAGACATTAATTGCACAAACAGTGAAGAGTTGACTTTTTGTTATGGGAGGCGATTGAAGACGCCGCCCGCAGTCGCTGCTGAAACGAAAATTTGCTGATTTTTGTATTTGGTCCTTTTTTACAAATATACATAAACACGTATAAACGTTTATAGAGTGCTCTCATTTTGTCGCCCACTGCGGTTAGCAAATTTTATTTTTAGATTGTCAAATATGTATGAATGTTTTTTATTGTACACACATAATCTTGTGCCAATAGAAGTGAAGAGCGTGTTTACGCTTAAAATGAAGATTTCAATATTGATTTGTTAGTATATACCCTGCACACATATGTATGGACGTAAGAGAGAAAAATAGGACGTTAATTTTTGGCAATTAAAAAAATGGACATAAATAAGGTTTTGGACATTTACAAACTGGGCACGAAGTTTTGGTCATTTAAAAGCTGGCAATAAAAGTTTAGTCATACAAAACTGGGCATATATTTTCGGTCATTCGCCCTTGAGTTGTCACCTCTCTGGTAAAAAAAATAGCACAGTTCACGTGGTCCAAAGATCTCAAGTATCAAACAAGTTAAAAAAGTGGCATACATATTGGTCATTTGAAATCTGAACATATATTTTTTGGTCATTTAAAAACTATAATATGGTCATTTAAATACTACACCAAAATTTTATGTCAAATATGGGCAGTTTTTAAATTACTAAATGAGAAAAAATTTATGTACGGTTTTTAAGTCGCTACAATGGTTATTTATTATATAAACTTCTCTTAAATCACAACAAATCCTTGACTAGCTTTTAAAAGATCAACAATTTATTTATGTCCAGCTCATAAAGTACGAGTATCCGAAATTTTGAAGTTACCGAAAATTGATGTTCGCTTTTTACATGGCAAGCAAATTTATTTCATGTTTTTAAACGTCAAAAAAATTATGTGAATTCACAAAAAAAAAATCAAAAATTCATGTCCAATTTTCAAATTACCAAAAAATTATGTTCACTTTTTAAATGACATAAAAAATATTTCCTGTTGTTTAAAGATACAAAACAGTATATACAGTTAAAAAAATGATTAACAAGTAAGAAAGTCTAAGTTCGGGCGGAGCCGAACATTAAATACCCGGCGCAAGTATTAAATATATGTTTTTTCACCTTTCCGAAACCTACCGCTAGATGGTAAGCCGGGGTGTATCAATGTTGAGTAAATTAACGTCCTTAAATTTCGAAATATTGCAGTTTCAAGCATTTATGAAATTTACCGTTATATGAAAAGCGGCCCCAATTTTAGTCCGATTTCAATAATTTTCAACGTTTTGCTTATATGTGGCAAGCACAATATCCACACCGAGTTTGGTACAAATTGGTAGAACGGTTACCGATATACTTATATGAGATCATAAGTGGGCGGTGCCACGCCCATTTTCCAAAGTTTTACCATAATCGTATTTCTTGGTAAAGAATTGTTGCAAGCATCAATTTTGAATAAATTAGCTTCAATATTTACTGATTTATCGAAGATTTTGTATTTCTCTAAATTACCGTTATATGGGATGTGGGCGTGGTTATTGTCCGATTTTAAAAAGTTTCGGCGATATTTTATGCTGTGCCAAGTCCAACAACTGTGCCAAGTTTGGAAGAAATTGGTGCAGCGGTTACCAAGATATACACATGTAACCATAAGTGGGCGTGGCTACGCCCATTTTTCAAAAATTTATAATATTCTCATTTTTCGTCTAAAACTTATTATAAATATCAATTTTGAGTGAATTATCTTCAGTAGTTACTAAAATATCGCAGTTTTCGTATTTCTGGAAATTACCGTTATATGGGAAGTAGGCGTGGTTATTGAGCGATTTTAAAAATTTTCGGCCATTTGGTATGTTATGCGAAGGCCAAGAACTGTGCCAAGTTTGGAAGAAATTGGTGCAGCGGTTACCAAGATATACACATATAACCATAAGTGGGCGTGGCTACGCCCATTTTCCAAAAATTTATAATATTCTTATTTTTCGTCTAAAAATTATTGTAAATATCAATTTTGAGTGAATTATCTTCAGTAGTTACTAAAATATCGCAGTTTTCGTATTTCTGGAAATTACCGTTATATGGGAAGTGGGCGTGGTTAAAGTCCGATTTCGCCCATTTTCAATACCAACCTACCTTGGATTAAGGGAAACCTACATACCAAATTTCGTTGAGATATCTCAATTTTTGCTCGAGTTATCGTGTACACGGACAGACGGACAGACGGACAGACGGACAGACGGACAGACGGACAGACGGACGGACAGACAGACATGGCTTAATCGATTTCTTTTTTCATCCTGATCATTTATGTATACATTTGTCTATATCTATCTCGATTCGTTTTGGCTGTTACAAACAACCGTTATGTGAACAAAATTAATATACCCTTGTGCACAAGTGCGCTCGGGTATAAAAATGTATGTCCAATTTTTGAAAGACCAATTTCAGAAACTATATCCGGTACCAAAAAAAAAATTATAAAATTTTCAAGCGGGCAAAAATTTATGCCCAGTTTTTACTTTCATGCGTTCATATTATGATCATCATACGCCCCGTCTACCCGCAAGCCCTTCCACTACTGTATAAACTTTCGGCGCCGCGCCGGCAGATCACTACATTACACTAATTGGTATGTACATATGTATGTATGTAAAAAGAAATCAGGCGCGCAATTACCGAAAAATGCTTTGCTGACATTGACAAAATTGCTGTTAAAAAAAGCAAAAATAAATTTCTCAAAAACGAAAGCATTAAAAACAAAAAGTGGTGATGCAGCTCTTCGAGGGCGCCATTTAGTTCAAAGAAAGCCAAAAAGAGCGATATGAAATGTATGTAAATATGTACATGTGGGGTCTTCAAATGTATGTATATTTGTACAAATGCATGTATTGCAAGTGAGCGAAAGTAAAACAAAAAAAAGGAACAGTCCAGCGCCTTCGTCTTGGTCTGCAGGCTGCATCGGAGATACAGCCGCTATATTTAAACGTAGAATACGTGGTATGGTTAAGAGCATATCCAAGTCAAAAACGAAATCACACACTAAGAAAAAAAGGGTTTTTCCAAAATTTTACAAATTTACATACTTCTAAGTGAAAAGAACTCAATGAGAATATAAGCGAAAGCCCTGTTTTTATTTTTATTTTATACCATTGTTTTTTTCTACAGCTTACTGAGATTTA